AGACACGGGGAAAATCGCCCAGGAGAGCGCAGCACCAAAGGCGGCAACCTAGGCACCTATTTTTGGCTTCTTAGATGCCCGATTTACGTGGAAAGCCGCAACCCCGCACAAGGTTTCTTTTCGAGGCAAGGGCGGACGCCAACTTCCCTTCTCTCCGGCTGCGGGGGGCGGCGGCGGGCGCTCATCTCCCGGGACGCGGGGTTCAGGCCCCGGCAGCCGCAGCCCGGCCGGCGCCCCCCGCTCGGGGCCGCTTTCCCCGCAGCTGGGGAAGGAACCGGTCACCCCCGCCCGCTCTCCCAGCCTCCAGCCCCCCAAGCGGCGACATCCCACCCACCGCCCCACCTCACAGCCCCCGGGCTGCCCAGCCCCAAGGTGTTCGCCGTCCGTCCCGTCCGTCCCCCCCCGTCCCGCGCGTCCCGGGCGCCCCTTCCCTCCGCCGTGGGAGCGGTGTCCGGCGGGGCCGCCCCCCTCCCCGCCCAGGGAGGAGTCCCCACCTCCCGACCCCTCCTCCTCCTCCTGCTGGAAGGGGAAATATGAAGCGGAGCCGCCGCCGCGCTCCGGGGAGACGGCAGGGGACGGGGCGGCGGAGCGGGCATCCTCCAGCACCGAGGGGCGGCCGAGCCGGAGCTCTGCCGGGGCAGCGGTGTGCGGGGCGGGAGCCCTGAGGAGCGCTCAGCGGTCGGCGGCTCCGGCCCCGGAGGGTGCCCGGTGGTCCCCGGCTCCGCCAGCCGCCTGCCCCCCAGCGCCGGGCCGTGGGCTGTCCGCGGCGGCGCTGAGGCGCGGGCGGCAGCGGCCGGAGCGAAGGGGCCGCTGCCAGGCGGGGAGATGTCCGCCCCGTACAGCAGCCTGATGAGATACCTCTTCCCAGCCCTGCTGCTGCACGGTGAGTGCGGGGCCGGCTGGGTTGCCAGGGGGTCGCCACCCGCGGGGTAGCTACCGGTGGCGCGCCCGAGGGGCCCCGAAACCTCGCTGGAGAGGGGTCGCGGGTGGGTGCGCTGGCCCCTCTTGGGTACGGGAGTGGGGTTCGGGTCGGGGGGTCTCGTAGAGGAGAGGTGCGTATGGATGCCGAAGCCAGCGGAGATTTTGTTTGCTCTGCCTGAACCCCCTCCTTAGGGGCACCCCTTCGCGGAAGGCGCGGGTCAGCGCGGAGCGGCAGCCGGCCCGTCTGGGTGCACGGAAAGCACCCCGCTCCCAAGTCGGTGTCGGCAGTTTCACCGTTTCCCGCCTGTAACCGCTCGGACGGAGCAGCTGATCCGGTCACCTCACACAACGATGCTTTATGCACCTCCGGGCTAAAGGGTTGGCTCTGCCAAACTCCGGGCAGCAGGGCCGAGATGTCCCCCACGGGACCCGCGCTTCACCTGCGGGCTGAGAGGAGGTTGTTGATGTGGAGGTATTACCTGGGAAGCCTTAGGCATCGGCGCCGGGTTGTGTATCCCAAGGAAAGTGTTTTGCTGCAGAGCACAGAGGTTCTGGGTGTCCTTGTGCCCAGTCCTGCTCTGACACCCTCTCTGCTCAGCCCCGGACTGACATCTCCCTGAAACTGCACACTAGGCAAAATTTTAGTGGGAAAAGCTAGCACACTGAAACTTTAACTTACAAGCTCAGCTTGTGAATCCATATTTAGGCACTTAAACAGATAACCCGTCTTTCCAGAAAGCCAGTGTTCTTCAAGAGCAACTTCTGAGAAGGGGGGGTATTTAATGAGCTGCTTAGGTATGTCTAACATTTGGCAGCCAGATTTGAAGGATCTGGGTGCAATATTGTTCTGCAAGAGTAACTCAACCTACTCAGTTACAGCATCGTTTCAAAGAGTGTTCCTAATCCCGAAGTACTTTGTAGCATCCAGCCTTCTTCAGTTAAATTTCTTAGGACCCCAAGCTTACTTGTAAAAAGAGGAATATTTTTTTTTAACTGTTACAGTGCAAGTGACTTACATGGAATCAGTGTGAGATCTGTGAGCTGGGATAAGGATTTCAAAGCTATTCCTGGAGTTGATTTTGTGGAGCAGGGATTGTCTGTCTCTGTGTTTGTACAAGTGCTAAACACACAGATGGTATTCAATAAATAATAAAGAGCGTGGGCTTCCGATTGTGTATTTTGTTCTGAGAAAGAAAGAGCAGGGGACCTTGTTCCCCAGGAGGGGGTTTTATACCCTTCTCACAGCTCAGCTATGAAATCCGGAAAGTGTAGAAACGTGTTTCGTTACGCCAGACCTGCCGGAACGCCAGAGGTGTTCTTTAAAACTCTGTGATCTGAGATGTAAAAGTCGAAATGGGAGGTTTGAAGTTAGAGGGTAAAAAGAGGAGGTATAATTACAGGGTTGGACTCCCTGGCTCATCTGCTTGGAATTACAGAGCAGAGCTGAACCCTGGCTGGAGCAGGAAACAAATCAGGGCCAGTGATCAGATCAAAACAGCAGCTGCCAAAAGAGGATGAAGAAGGAAAATCATCTATTTCTTCCATCTGCAGTTATATTTCACCAAATAACTTAAACCTAAGTTCTTCTAGAAATGTGTAGCTCAGCGCCTTGTATCTAAACACCTCGGTCATGTAGCAGTGCACAGTTTGGATCTGAGCTTCAAGCACTGGGAAACTACTGCCCTCTTACAAACTTGAAAATGACATCGGGGCATATAATGCACTGAAATGTAGCCCGTCTAAACGTAGTTACCCTGTTAGCTTTAACTTGCCCTACAGCTTTTCCCTCTGTCTCATAGAGTCAGTAAGAACATTCTTCAGTCAGCAGCTAGCCCAAATTGGTAATATGTAAGAATAACCAGCAATCCCAGGAGATCGCAGTGTTAAGCCGCTTTACAGCATGTGTTGTTTTCTTTTGCGTTTCTATTGCACATGGCAATTTAAGGGTTAAAAGTGAGCGCGTGTGAGTGGGTGGTTGAGGATTTTTAGGGCTTAAAGCTTTAGGACACAAGTAAAAATGTCCTGCAAGGCTAAAGCTTCTGCTCTCGTTACATTAAGAAATGCCTACTTTAACATCACCAAATTAAATTTTGGAAAAACTTGTCTTCATTAATCAAAATAAAACCTGTACAATGTCAGGGGGAAAAGAAAAGAGTTTGCAGCTGGAAGTTGTCCATTATCACTGTTTTCTTTGCTTAGACAAAAAACCACAGAAGTTTCAGATGTCAAATGCTAAGATCATTCAGCTCCAGAAAACCTGATTAATAAGAGCTATATTCAAGTGGATTTAAAACAAATTTGGCTAATTTCTTTTGTAAACGTAACCATTTATTTTTTTTACAAATACAAATGCTAAGAAGAAACTTCAGCATATTTCTGATTATGTTACTGGTAGAATAATGAATTAGAAACTTTAAAACAATTTGTTGATAACATCCTGGAAATAGTGCTAATAAAGATGATGAAGACAGGACTGCTAGGCTTAGCAGAGCAAAACTGTTTATGCTTTTAAAAGTTCTCTGCCAATATTGCTTAAATTAGTTACATAAAAGTGTTTTATTTCGAAACACATTCAGAATAATAATAAGTGAATCTGAAGATATAAAACCCCATATCCCTAAAATGGACAAATACTGCGCCCAATGCTAGAGGCATATATGATCTGTTCCCTCAGTAAAATCCTGCTTTTGGAAAACTGGAAGACAATAAGAGGGGAAGACTCACTGCTTGGTGTAAGACTTGTAGAGTTTGCAGGGAGAAGGTGGGCTCAATTTTATTCACAATTCCGTCAGTGTACATTTGATTTCACTCTGTAGCTTGCCTTTGGGCTAACAGTGGTACAATGTGGGTGCCGTGAACAATAAAGGCAATTTTTGTGCTCCGTAGGGTGTCCAGTGGAGGCAGGCTGCAGGCGGTGAAGCCCAAAACTAGCCTCTACCACACTGAAGGCAAATGCCTTCAGCTATTGAAGGCAAGGCAAGTGTTTTATTACTGACACAAGGCTTTAAGCAGTGCTGGTGGAGGGTAGGATTATGCATCATGAGCTTGTTTAACGTTGTCTTTACTCAGACACCAGTGCCATCGGCACTGGGGGCAGTTCCACCGGAATACATCCTGATGGTGAGGTGTGGGTGGAGGACAGGGCAGAGGTCTGCAGGCCGCATGGCAGATGTCTCTGACACAAAGCAGGTGTTTCCTTCAAAGAGGCCAAGAGCAAACTACTGTAGATATTGAATTGCACTCACGGCCCAGTGCTGCGCCCACTCACACCGGTGGCAGAGTTCCTCCTGCCCTGAAGGGAGATGGGCTTTAACCCTTCGGGGCTTCACAAAGAAGCCCACGCTCCGGGCAGTGGCGTTTTACCATGCGTG